TCAGGAAAATCCAAGGTAGACAAAGGCTGAATTTTTTTTGGTTTTGAGTTGTGAAAAAGGGAGCACAAAATATTTACACCCCACCGTCTCGAATTGTAATATCCTAGACCGGGCTTCGTCATGGCTGCTGCTCTTTGCCCACTATAAAACCTTCGCCGAGCCCATGCGCACTACGGTCGTGCAAATGAAGGACAAAAAACCCCTCTCGTTTCACTATAGTATCGTTGAGTGCATGATCAACATTTCCCTTCTTGCCCTTCATTTGGTTCCAAACATAGGAAAAACTAATGGTGCGCTTCAAGGTGAACAGGGATTATGTCAGAGTGCAAAGTCTTGGATATCATCGTTGCACTCATATGATAATGCCTAAGTCATTTTTCGCCGATTTGAAGTTTTTGGTTTGAAAATGAAGAGCAGAGCCAGCTTGGTAATATTATTAAAGTATAGTTCACTTTGACAAAGGAATACTCCAAATATAAAATCAGTTGAGAGTAAACAAATTCAAGCGTTTCACAGAGTCAATTGTTCAAAAGAAACAGTTCTTTTTTTCCATTTTCTCAAAATTGCCACAATAAAAGACTTAGGCTTTTATCTTACGAACGTGACATTATGATAGACATACAATTCTATGCCTCCCATTTTGGCATTAACTTGTTTTTGAAAACTCAAAAGCGTCAACATCGTAGCATTTTGCACGGCGTGCTTTAGAAATATTTCACTCCGGTGCTTATGCGTGTCTTTGGCCTTTCACTTTCAGTTGGGTGGAGAGTCTGCTGGAGCCTTTGACACCTCAGCCTTAGCATTATCTACCGGTGTGCAGGGACTGTTCCAGAGAGTTATCGTCCTTAGTAAAGCCACGGGGCTCAGTGCATCAGGCTGGAATGATAATCCTCAAGTGACCACCGTCAGAGCTGCGCGGTGAGTTGAGGGAGAGATGCCCTGTTCCTTTTCATGGAAAATGGTCCCGTTTCCTCTTCATCTGGGTACCAGATGTTAGAAATACGACTTAGAGTGTTAGATTATTAAGTTGGAAAATCACCTGAAAGTTGCTGCTGCTGATCATTCTACTGCTGCTGCTGCTGCTGCTGCTGCTGCTGCTGCTGCTGCTACTGCTGCTGCTGCTGCTGCTGTTGAAGATGATGATGATGATGATGATGATGATGATGATGATGATGATGATGATGATGATGATGATGATTTTTTTTGTTTCCTTAATTTGCCTGACGGACTTCACGAAGAAATCTTCGAGCGAGAGCGAGGCTCTTTTTCGGCTCCATTGTCAATATGCTTAGCGGCACCTCCACTCGTCCAAATAACTCTATTCGAATTGCCATTGTTCCTGGACATTCAAACATATGTTTGATATCCTCCTTTTCATGGCCGCATCTTCGGCAACATGGGCTGAGCTCTTCATTTACAAAGTTCCTATACCATCTTAAACTCCAATGATGGTCCGACCGCAGTCTCGCTTGCTCAACCTGGTCCCAGCGACATGTGATAGAGTTTTGTTCCCGCTTATAGGAGTACCCAGAATACACATCTTCCAGGTGCTGGTACTTAGTTCTACATGGTGGGTCTTTGATTTCTCTCTTGATTATTGTGGCAAGCTGTTCCCATCACGATGGGGAGTACCGTTCTCAACGAAGACAGCCACATCCAATGGGGAAGCTCTGATGATGATGATGATGATGGTGGTGGTAGTTTCAAAGCAGATTAGATAACGTTTATGAAAATCTATGAAAGCAACGATGATGATGCTTGCTAGCGCGAAGTACCGATTTTGGCACCAACACTAAATCCCCTCAGGCAGCTCAGAAAGGCAGAAACCATATCTCATCGTATCCCCTTTCCTTCCATAGAGTGATCAAAGTTTGAAGCAAAACTGTCTCCACTAGCCTTCCTTAACATTTGATTAATATAAAAGTTGTCCTTTTGATGATGACTATGTTGGCGTTATGTGCCATATCCTATGCTATCACTGGTAAAGCATTTAATAACGATTGTGGCAACATGACTATGTCACAAGTTCAAAACTCTTCTACGTCATCACGTCCGTCCAGACTTCTTATTTACTGTCAGAACACTTGCACGTCAAGTATTCGTGAAAATAGATCCTTTATTCCTGCATTTGAAGACCTTCTAGTCCCCCCCCACATCCCCATACACACATGCCTACCCCTCCTCCCCCCCTCAAATTACACATTAACTGGAGCGTCCTAGACCCATTTTCCTCCATGCTGGCTTTCTTTCTTTCTCTGTTTTATTTCTCTCTCTCTCTCTCTCTCTCTCTCTCTCTCTCTCTCTCTCTCTCTCTCTCTCTCTCTCTATCTATCAATCAATCTATCTATCTATCTATCTATCTATCTATCTATCTATCTATCTATCTATCTATCTATCTATTTCATCGTGTATCTGTGAGTACGCCACCATGTTTGTGTGCCTTTACGGTTTTCTCTTCTTCTCTGTCGCTTTCTTTCTCTCTTAGTATGTCAGTCAGTCAGTGTATCTGTCTGTCTGTCTGTCTCTCTGTCTCCCTCCCCCTCTCTCTCGCTCTCTTTCTCTCTCTCTCACTCGCTTTCTCACGCTCTCTCTGTCTGCCTATCCTGGATGTTGTCGCTCCTCGTATCCCTCTCTCTAAACACCACACATTTCATTTTTTTGTAATACTCGTATACAAATAGTATTTACATTTCGCGTACAAAATGGTGCTTCGCAATTTGAATAACCTGAACTCAATTCCCCTCACAGAAGTGTAGGCTGTATTAAGCAAGAAGATAAGAACCCAGTAACAGAAGCTGATTGGACGCCCGTGATCACGTGTTTAAAACAACTACCTGCACAGCGATTGGCTAACACCAGTGCTTTGAACTTTGCTCGGACAGACGTTTTCTCGGCAGTGAAAGATGGGGATCTGTTTCCTTACGGAGTAAGTTTAGGTATCTATCTATCTATCTATCTATCTATCTATCTATCTATCTATCTACCTATCTATCTATCTATCTATCTATGTCTCGCTCTGTGAGAGAGTGTCTCTTCGCGTTTGTCTATCTTCGTGTTTGTCTCTCTATCTGTCTGTCTGATACCCTTTCCTTGTTTATTGTAATCTGACATTTTTCTGCCAATTTTTTTTTGTTGGCTTAACACCACTGCTGTCCAATTACGAACACATTTTTCGGTGGTTTTTTTAAAAACTGAAAAACGTTGATTAAAGGCACAAAACATGTAAGTTTTTAAAAGTTTCCACAGACTATTAACCTCTGGAAATATCCAAGCATTTTCTCGCTAATTCTACCTTTGAAACCAGACAATCTCACCTTCTTCAATCTCAAATATCTGAACTTCTAAACAAATTAGATGGGCATTTTTTTCATTGATAGCAAGACAATTGAAGAAGGTTGATTAAGATGATACCAATAACTCCAAATGCCCAAAAATTGAAAGGACCTGATTCCACCACGTCGTCACACACACACACACACACACACACACACACACACACACACACACACACACACACACACACACACACACACACACACACACACGCACACGCACACACACACACACATTTATTTATATATTTATGTTATGTAATATATATATATATATCATATTTTATATATATATATATATATATATATAGATATAGATCCCCCAC